CCTGGTGTAATATCATGATTGGCATTCATACTTAGCTGCCAGGCCCTGAAGGAAAATCTTCCCCCTCTACTTCTAGAACAATTCCCTCCGAATTGTTCCATTTCACTTCTTTCCCTATATATATATATATATATAATTATATATAATTATAAACTAATTACTATATAGAAGTTATATATATTCTTTGTCTCCGTGCATCTCAATGAAATAATCAATAAGTCGCTAAATACTATATTTCGTGTTTTATTTGTTTTGTTTGTTTTTATACTGTTCCATCACATGAGTGCATTATTGATACATTATCCTTTCTACTATCAGTGCGCATATAATGTCTTTTATTGCATACATTAAATGCACAGATAATAGCAACGCTGTATTGTATTATCATACATATATGAATGTTGTGTGTGAATGATATTATGTTGCGTGCGCGTCAGTTATTATTATTTATATTCTTAAGCTTATAAAAATTAAATGAAGGATGCTGTTTCATCGATACGTTCCAATTATGCACTATTTATTCATATATGATCTCGCCATATTTTATATTTTGCCAATGACTTATCCCACACACAATCACGTTACAAGATGCATGTATCATGTGTATCAGTTTTTGTTCTAAATAAGAATAGAATAAAAGATTACATTTATATATACAAATTATAATAAACTTATAAGAATTATAAATGGCAAAGAATCAAATAAGTAGTTTCATTTCATGAAACTTCCAACTAAACACCAATCAGAATTAGATAGCGTTAAAAAAGCGATATGTATCTAGACTTATTACATAGATGATAAAGAAAAAGTTAAAATATTTCAGATTAAGGCTGCGATTGACTGAACATTACAGAAATGTTTGACTGATGATTGATCAGGATAAAGGAATTTTGGCTCTTTTTATCTTGATTCAATGCTGTCATCTACTGCATGTTGAACATCATTGTGCGTTGATTTATATTTCCGATTTATTTTTGCGACTTTGTCAGTGACGCTTACGACAAACTTTGTGCTCAGGTTCTTGATATAATAAGAGATTACATATTCGAGAAATAAAAAATTTTGGCGCGGATGCGACAAAATATAATGGATAATAATTATCACTGACGTCGTTTAATTTAGCGTGACATTACAAATTCAAACATTCGAGCAAGTTTAATACGAATAGATCGTTTTCCATACCGCATCTTACGTACTACATCTTCTATTACACATTTCGTACAGAGAAACGAGAATTCGCGCGCATTTATCCCGCGACGATTGATCCAAGATGGCGACGGGTACGCAAGCGCCATCGCGCGGCGGTTTGCCATAAGCAGTCTCGGCAGAACGTAACGTGACGTGACGTGTGTGTGTGTGTGTGCGCGCGATCCTGACGTTTTTCGCCTCGATCAGCGGTAAGTAGCCTTTATTTACGCGCTGTGCAACAATAGTTACATAATTGACAAGACGCGCGACGCGCGTCGCACGCCTGTCGGCGGCAGATATGAGTTTTTCGCGCGCGCGACGACGGCACCGAGTTTAACGTCTTGCCCGAGGAGGAAAGCTCCTAGCGCGCGTTCGTGCCACCCCGCTGTGTGCGACCGCTGTCAACCGGGGGCAACGCGTTTATTTTTATCGTGAATTGCAGCCAATTGCGGCCTGGCGCCGCTTCAATTGAGAGCGAAATTACACGCGCGTTTCGTCGTCGCTCGCGCGAATCCGATCGGTCGAGAATCGCGCGAGAGACGTCTGAAGTTTGCCGCGCGGCAGGAAAACGGTTACGAAAAAAAATAGGAGGACCCGAATCGATCTGAACGTGTCGCCGAAAACGGCGTGAACTTCCGATCGCTTGACACGCGGCGATCACTTCGCGCCGTGTTTTCCCTTGCGACGGACGGTCCCTTAACCTCACTTCCCGGGAGCGTTCTGTCATTTCGGAGGATGCGCGCGACATATCATTTCATCCTTGTTTTCTGTGAGTGACATTGTACTAGTTCATTCATAACATTCCCTTAATAGCGCTTTTGACATATTGTACAAGGTGAGCTGTCAGTCGCTGTCAGTCGTTCACGATACATCGCTTATTTATGACTCCTCTCGACGACAACATGTCAGTTCTGCCTTGATCCTTTCATTTTATTTAATTACTTGCTTCCTGAATATATAACTGTAAAAGTCGTGGCATAACTATACATTTTTATATACTATATTTCCGACAAAAGTTATTTTTTAATATTCTGCGTAACTGGAATCAATTTTTCTCATATAATTTGTGGAGTAAATATACTTAATATACAATTTTTATATATCTTTTTTCAATTATAATTTTTATCTATAAAATTTATTATTATTGGTATTTAACACAAGAAAAATAAATTGTTAACAAAGTTTGCATAGTTGATAAATAAAAATAATATTTATATCAAAAAAGAGATGGAAAAATATATATAAGGAATTTTGGAGCGAAACGTGCTTTGAATTTTGAAGCGAGGAAATACGAATATCAAAGACGTGGAAGTATTTTTATATGCATGCCTATTATCAAATAATGATATTCCACATGGCTAAATATAATTAATATTAATTTGCTGTATCTCGATGAAACTTTGAAGAATCGCGCGATGTACCTCGCGAAAGTTTTATCCGCTCGGTGCAAACGAACGGGTAAAACGGTAAAATCAGGCGCGGTCTCGAGATTCAAATCGATTTTACTTGTGGTCCGACTGCGTATCGCGATCAAGATTTCCATGGACGAAATGGAATGTTTTTATTACGGTTTTTGTTGGCCTGGCATTAAATATTAACAAGGAACAGCGCGCTACAACTTCCACATAATAGCGATATCGTTAAATCAACAGCGATTTCTGCTGCTTCACAAATGGAATTAAATTTTATTATCGAAATGGAATTTACAATTAAATCCAAAATTTCTCAGAAAGCTATTAATCGGACACGTTGGAGGGTACTCGAATAATACGAGTAATTATGAGATTTACGATAACGATAGAGGCTTCTTCCTCGAGAACCTCTTTAGGAACTATTGCGTTTGATACGAAACTGGTTTCCGACACGTGAGTAGCACGCGTAGCATCGTCGAACACACGCCTGTCATTCGTCTGGACGAAGAGCAATAGATGCACACAAATCTATATCTCTACTAACGCACTTTATTTACCATGTGGCTTCGAAATAAGTTACCTGTCGCGGAAAAGTCGATCTGAATTATACGGGACGCACCGTTCTATTTACATAAAAAAAAAAAAACAGAGACGTTCCACGAGCGTTGGTGGTATCTCGCGGTTGTTTTAACGCCATATGAACCGTCTCTGAATCGAAACATCGTCGGAGTATTCCGGGAACCAGTTTCGGTGATGAGAGATCACCCCGTACCGTTATTTTTACCTCGTACACATACGTTGCAATCACAAACACATGTCGCGATTACTGCCGATGGTAGGTTGTCTGATAATTTAGGCAACGGTATTGACACGCGAAACACATTTGAATTGAAAAAAATATTGTTTTCACAGCAGTACTGTTTGCATGCGAAACATTATCGCTATGTTACAGATTGGTTATGAGATGCACGAATCAAACATATTTATATATACGTGTATCTGTTTATATATTATTTTTATTTCATTCTTAAATTATATATATGCATGTGTAATGAAGTTGACCTTCTAAAATTTATGCAGATAGAATATATATATATTATTATAACACTAGTATATATTTTTGTATAATTTAAAATTAATATTATATTAAAATATATATTAATCTTATAATAATTGTCCATAATTTAATTAATATATTATTTATATTGAGATATGCAATATGCTAATGTGTTAACAGAAATGAGTTCAACCTTCGTATCAGCGTATCT